ATTTTTTTCTAATTTTAAATTATACGCCTATTTTAACTTTAAAATCTTAATCCCTTTTTTCTTTTCATATTTATTAAATGTTAATTTTAATAATTTATTAATTTAATTCATTCTATTAATTTTAATTAATTAATTAAATTTTAGAAAAAATTATTTATTTATTTTTAATTTTTTTAAAATTTTAATTTTAGTATTATTATTATTATTAGATATATATTTTTTTATTTTGATTTAATTTCCAATCAATCTCAATTATTTCTAGATTTCTCCATTTTATCCAAAATCTCATTTTTTTCATTTGTGATTGATTTAAAACACTTTAAATATATTCATAAACATTATTCAACCTTCATTAAACACTTAAACACGTTTTAATTACACAAAATATGCATGAACACACACACACACACCCACACACTGTTTTTGTTAACAGCATGCTGGGGGTAAATTTCATGCGATTTTCACCTTCTAAATGCGCCTATAAAATTCCAAATTTACATAAACTAGATTACTGTCTCTCTTACCTCACTAACGCACGAAGCGAAATGCAAAACGCGCGAATGGAAAATGTCTGCAACAAGAAAAACAGTCGGCAACTCGCCTGTGCAGCGGTACAGAGTCGGTGACGAATTTGGGTCGAATTCGAAGGTTCTGGGCTGTTTCTATCATGGAAAATTAATTCCTAATCATCCTAAGACATCATTAAACTAATATAGAACTTGAAATTGAACAAAAATCGAAGATAGAAAAGAACAGAAGCTTACCGAACACAGAGCCGCTTCTGGTGCAGCAGAGAAGAACCCCTCTGTTTGGTGTTTGCTGCGGTGTTTTGCAAGCTTAATTCTGTGAAAGGGAACCGTGAAAAGCTAAAGAAAGAAGGCATAAGGTACCAGAAAGGAGAGGAGCTTACCTGGAGGCGAAATAAGGTCGGATTGCTCTCTGTATTTCTGGTTTTTGTTTCTCTCTCTAGATTTCTCTTGGTTTTCTTCCTTAATTCAAATCTCTCTTTCTTTCTTTATTTCAGACGAAGATGTAGGAATGAGAATGGAAGTAGAAAGTTTTTTAAACTGGAACATCTTCCAGTTTTCTTGGCGCATACGCCCAAGCTGTGTGTTCTTGCTGCAATTTTGAAGCAGCTGGTTGAAGGAGAATGAATGGTTGACTGGACAGCTGGCTGACATCTAGCTGCAGCAGCCGTCACCGTATCTGATCTCCCTCAAGCGGTGGGATCAACTCCCACCCCTTCGCTCAAAGTTTTTCTTGATTCTTTTCAATGGTTTTTTTTATTTAATTTAAACTTAATTTATTTTAAGGTACCATTTTAATTGGAAGAAAATAAAATATATAAAAATACCTCATTTTATTAATTTTACAAAGTTTATATTTATAACGGATATTACCGTAACCACTCTAGAAATAATTATCTCAAGCGCTTCACATTGAATTAGAGTCGTTCTCTACTACACTAAATTAGACTTTCTAATGTTTGATGGCTCTGAAGATTCTCTAATATAGTTTCATTGGTGTGAGAAATTTTTTTGCCAACCAACACACGCTGGATAGGGATAAGGTGGGATTGACCACCTTCCACATGCTTGGAGAGGTGTAGCTGTGATACCACCAATTGAAATCTGAACAACCTATACTCAAGTGAACTGAATTCAAAAACTATTGTTCTTTGAAACTTGGGCAGCCGGCCGGAAGTAACTTGTTGGGAGAAGTGGTAAACTTGAAACGAATGGGATCGGTTGCATACTACCAGAAGTAGTTCCAAGAAAAACTGATAAGAGTAAACAAGTTCATCCGGGTTCATGCATGTAAGTTTGTTCACAGCGGGACTGATTGATTATCTTCGTTTAGAAGTCGAGATGTAATCACCCACTACTCTTGTGCATGCAATGAGTATGGTCATAACTTCTGAAAGGAAATAGTAATTGGGGGATATGGCTGAACATAATTATAGTGACCATTCTTAGTCCATAACCGAGCCTAACAATTCAGTTCAGAAAATACCAACTCCACATGGCAGCAACATTACGACATAATTTAGTAACACTTTCTCTCCATTTATAAAGAAACTAATAAGGGCAGAGATGATAGAAAGGAGGTTGAAGGGATTGTGTTATAACTGCGATGAACTGTTTCTTCATGATCACCAATGTAAACGACTGTTCTGACTTGAGATTGAATCGATACTGGTTCTAAACAACAAAAAAAAGACCGACAAGACAGCTATATCCATATTTCAAGTTTGAGGACAAGCTTGAAGAGTAGGAGGGAGTAATGTTATGGACACACTTATAGAGTTTAAATAAGACGATGAAGTGCAATTAAATATGAAATTCTAATTAGTATTGAATTCCTAAATAGTAAACATAAAATTGTAACTAGTATTAGATTCCTAAATAAATTTTAATTAGATTCCTAAATATTAAATTCTAATTAGATTCATAAATAGTATATAATTTTTCATTAATATTGGATTCCTAAATAGTATACAATTTCTAATATTTTGGTAAAGTATTTCTAATTAGATTTATATTCCTAATTAGATTAAGATTTCAAAATAAAAATTGTAATTCTTATATAAAAAAAGTATGTTTGTTATTAATAAATACGAGTCAAAATATTATTTTAAACTACGAGATTGGAACTCTCTCAAACGAGATCTAAGGTAGTCGCTCTCTTTGATGAGCTGTAATCTATTTTCACAAAATAGGTCGCTTAAGGAATCACAATAATGAGAAGAAACAGATTCTATAATCAGAAATTATAGAGAACCACCCAGTGACAAAATCCTAGTCTCAAGAACATAACATATACCCTCAAGCGAATCCAACAGTAATCAAGGTTGATAATCAATTTGTTTTATGTATGGCAAAGAATCATATTAATCATGGTCAGACCAAGCATATTCTAGTAAAATGTCATGCTATCAGACAAGTGCAAAGGAATGTGATATTCATTCGATTCATTCCTGTTCAAATGATCAACTTGTTTATATATTAACCCTGTCATTGGGAAAATGAAGGTTTAAGGAATTAAGGGTCAAATTAGGCATATCCAAGAAAACTCTTAAGGAGAAATGTTAATGTATTAAAACTTTTCTTAGTACACATTTATGTTAAGATGCCTGTATGCTTAGTTTGATACATGAATTTTGAAATACATGTAAGCACATGTATGTATGGTTTACCATATGCATGTATCTTCTTTATTATATAAACCCCAAAGTTAAGTTTCTATATATTCTTTCTCATTCCTAAATATATCTATCAAAATCTACCCTTTGATGGTGATATTGACTCTTGTAAATAATTTGTGTATGATTATGAGATTGATGGTAGTATTTCTTTCAATGCTTCATGTTGCTCATCCCTCACAATTTCTATCCTGGCTATTTAATTGAACCCCAATTTTTCCTGAGGATCAATAATAACATAAGCTGTAATATCTTCTTGCATTTATGTTCCTGTGTTTAATTCCTGATAAAACAGAGAAGTGAATGGGAAGCTAACATATTCTTGTTTTTTTTTCTTTGACCTAAATGTTGGTGCACTTATTTGAATAAAGGAGTTTCATTTCCTATGAGGTCTCAAATAGTGCAATTCTTCTAATAAAGAGGAAGGAGTTCTGTTGGTCATGAATCCTTCATTCCTTTCAAACTTTAACTCATTGGAAGGTTCTTCTTTTCATTTTCAACTTACAGAATTGGAAATGGAAATGGATCTTTTTCTTGAACTGGAAAAAGCAGTTACGAAATTAAAATTCTTCATTTCTTGCAGAGAATTTTCACGGAGTATAAACAGCCGTTTGCAATAACTTATCTTGGTGTGTCCCTAATGGTCGTTTATCTGCCCATAGCAATTTTGAAAAATTGGATTTGCAGCTTCCTGAACAAGGATTTACTCAAACTTTGCAACAATGACTCTATCATGAGTTCTTCAAGTGACCTTGATGTTCCCCTTAGAATAAATGAGTTGCAGCAAGGCCCAACTTCTGACAAGGATCTGAGGGAAAGAGAAGAAGGGCAGCCTTTCAACTCCAGAAATGAGGAAGATGAGCCTCAGTTGCTTGAATATGACGTTGAACCCAATTCCTGGGAAATTGCCAAGTGCAGTTTTTATCTTGCTCCCATATGGTTTACAACAGAGGTAGTTGATTACATTCATGCTTAGGAAGATGACTTTCATTGCTTTTGGATCATATCTTAATTTGTTTCTCGTATTGTCAAGCAGCATGAGGAATAGATGTTAGGATCTTGAAAAACTATGATGAGGACTTGTATAGCCAGGCTTTGAATAGCATCAGTATTTTGTTTGATGCATTTTAAGTGTTGATCACTATTTTGGTGTTATTGAATTATTATGATGCACTTGAGTCAACGTGGGTCTTTCATAATGGATGAGTGCTCGGCTCTATGAACACAAGTATAGAGTTTCACTTTCACCATATAGACAATTCCCCATTGAGACCATAATGTTAACTTTAATTTTTCACTGGAGAAGAGACTAGAAATTTTCTCCTGCAACCACACTAAGGTTTGTTATTTATGGAAAGGCACCGTCTATCTTAAGGATGTCAGGTCATAATCATTTCTGCTACTTCTTTTTCATGCACATGCTTACCATTTAGCAGAGGTTATTTCTTTGTGAGGTATTTAACTGACATTATAATTTGAATTATATTATTAAATTTTTATTTTTGTAAAAACTTCTTTCATACATTTGGTAGTGTTTTTCACTACTTAGGAAACCTTCATTCATTTAACTGATTTTCATGTCTATTTATTCAGTTTCAAGGAGTAAGGAATAAGAAGCTTGTACTTTCTAATTCAATAAGATCATAGCAATCAATGGTTTTCTACTAATTATGTTATTATTTTTCTAGCTTACTTACTTTCAATCATGCAGTTTTTTTCAAACTCTGCTTTGGCAAATACTAGTGTTGCAAGTACAACTGTCCTGACTTCTACATCAGGACTCTTTACACTTTTCTTCGGAGCTCTTCTTGGCCATGACTCCATCAATTTTGGCAAGGTGGTTGCTGTTTTTATCAGCATGGCTGGTGTTGCAATGACTGCTTTTGGAAAAACTTGGGCATCAGATGAAATGCTGAACATCTCCGAGTATGTGAACTTTTCATATAACTTCTTTTGCTAGTTGTTTGCTGCAAGAAACAGTGATTCACTTGCTTCTTATGCCAAGTAATGTGGGCATGTGGGCAATTCATGATATCAGATAAAATAGGATTTTTGACAGCTCAACAAATGTTGTCCTGGTAATTTCCTTACTAGTGCCCAACTGGAAAAGTCAAAATTATGCTACAGCTGAGATGCAACTTGGACAATGGGGATCCAACTAGATATAAACAACAATTATGTTAAGAGATAATTGCTTTGGCTTTTCTTATCCAAGTTATTGCTTTTGCAAAAAAATTCATCTGCCCTGTAAGTTTTAGTAATTTATTTCATGATGTGAAACTTGCCTTGTTCTTTTTCCCTAGGAGTAGACAGCATTCCATCATGGGGGACATTTTTGGTCTTATTTCAGCAATGACATCTGGCTTATTTACAGGTAGACTTCTCTAACAGGATTTCAAATGTTCAGTTGAATGCAAATCCAACAATTGAACTGATAAAATAAAATGGCCTAGCTTGCTTCAAGTTCTCCTGCTTGATTATTAACTATTGATCTCTTTTATTGCAGTGCTCCTGAAGAAATCTGCTGGATCTGGAGACAAGGTTGATGTGCAGAAGTTCTTTGGATACATAGGTCTCTTCGCTCTTTTTGGCCTTTGGTGGCTTGGTAAGCGGATTTTTTCCCTCCAAGATCAAACTTTCACTGAAATATAAAGAAAATAGCTGGTTTGTAGACTTTTGAAGCTCAAAAAGCAGATAAACCAACCTGTAAAATCATCCTTAGGTCTTTCTGAGTCAAAAGTATTAACTATGGCAGCATAAGTAGAGAAAATGGAGATAAACTAATTTAGAAGTAAAAGTATGTTAAAGTGAATTAGGTTTTGAAACCAGTGATCGAAAGAGTGCAGCCTGCTTTCTCTTTATTTTGTTGGTTAAGTTCACATTTGATTAAAATTTGATTTTGCATGCAGCATGGCCATTGAGTACCATAGGGATTGAACCTCCGTTCAGATTTCCACATTCAGCTTCTGTAGGTGAAGTTGTGCTGTTTAATGGGGTTGTGGGAAGTGTCTTCTCAGACTACATTTGGTATGTAGTCATAGAGATAAATTATAAACTCACTCACTTGGGACACAAGGGTTTGAACCTTGTTTTGGCTTGTGACCTCCATGTCCAAGTAGATTAAATTCTCAATAGATTCAGTATTTATTATGTGTTTTCAGTATAATATTGGTGAAATGAACAGGGCTGTTTCTGTGGTTTGGACAACTCCGTTGGTTGCAACACTGGGTGTATCGTTGACAATACCCCTTGCAATGTTAGCCGATATGGTTTTACATGGCCGTCACTACTCAGCAACCTACATCTTTGGTTGCATTCAAGTATGTTCACTTTTCATTCTATCGTGAACTCAATATATAATTGAGTTGTTTACACAACTCAACCACCTCGAAGAGGCTTTTGAATTTCGAATGACTTTCCACTATCTAGATGCTTAGTATTATGAATCTCATAACATGTGTTTTGCGAGCTCAGGTTTTTGCAGGTTTCGTTATAGCGAATATATCGGACAAGCTTTGAGTTAAGAAAGTGAAAGTTGGTAGGTATTGTAGAATGAATAGAGAAGTGAAATTGGGAACCATGTAGACTCTCCCTTGTGTTGTATCTCACCAGGCAATGGAAAATGTGACTGACAAACTGTGCAATGTATTAGCCACTGTGACTCATAAACTTATGCTTCTTGTACAGTTGTGTTGTTTTCCTGTTTTGACAGATTTTATATCAGTATTGCATAATATATTTTAGTGTAAAAGATAACAGAGAATCAAATCTAAGCACAAAGCTATTCATTTGGAATGTGAAAGTTCTTTTGTTTTTTTGTTGTTTTAAAATGAATATATACATGTGTATGTATATCTATCTGAAAGTGGAATCATCTTCATCAAATTATCACAATTGATGTAACAATTTCAACAAAGGAACATCATCTGCTTGCTGCTTCTATCAATTATCTAAACAAACTAAGCCTATGATTCTATCAATTATCTAAGACGACAGATTTCTTTCTCATCATCGCTGCTACTCTCGTCTGAATCATCATTACTCTCTGCTAATTCTCTATTTCCCATCCAAATCTTCAATCTTTTAGCCTCAGCTGACCCTCTCGCAGCCTTGGCCTTCCTCTTCCCACTCCCACAGGCCTCTTGGACCGCCAAAATCACCTCCTTCACGCACCTGGCCGACTCTTCTCTGTATTCCTCTACATACTTCTGCCCCGCCTCGCCCTTCATTGTCTTCTTCTTTATGAACTCTTCCGCGATCTTCTCCAGTTTCCTCTCCTCCTCCTCCATCTTCCACTCCTCTAGTCTCTTCTCCATATTCACCTGCCTCAGCCTCCGCCCATTAATATCTCTGCAAGATTCAAAGTTGTTCGTCTTCTTTTGCCCAGGCCTGATGGCCGAGCCGCGCAGAAGAGATCCGAATCCGCCCTTTCCGCCTCGCAGCCTCAGCAAGAGGTGAATTGTAGAATCAGGGAGTGAAATCACCGCCCTGTCGCCGACCTGGTAGCCGGCACATATGAGACGCTGAACGTCGGTGGGAATCTTGGTAGCCTCAAAGATTAGCTGCTTGATCTGGTAACCGAACGCGTGCGGAGCCGTGAATGTTAAAACTGCGGTTTTGCCGTGGAGTAAGCGAACGAATAGTTGCAGAACCTCGGGTTTCTTGAAGATCCTGATATCGTTTTCCATTGTGGATGTGTTTGGCGCCTTGAGATTTTCGAAACCGAATGACCTGTTAAGGAAACAGGAAATTGGTCCGAAACCTTAACGGTTCAGGATTCGGGTACCCTTGCGCGTCCCTTCTTCCCTACTTCAAAAAGTTTAAAAGTAATCCATGTCCATAAAAAATAAGAAGAAGATATAATTTATATATATTATTCTTTTTTCAAATTTTATATTTTGTTGAGAATTTTACTTTTTTAATTTTTAAAATTAAAACTTTTCGAGATATATATCTCTATCATCCGTACTCTCTTTTAAAACTTTCACTAAAAATTAATGATTATTGTTAAATGTAAAAGACTTGGTACATTATTATGCATAAAATAATAATTAATATATATATATATATTTTTTGGATAGAAGATTGTAAGTTGTAGTTATATTATACTTTTATATGTGCCATTGTTTAAAAATTATTTATATTAAATTATAATTGACATATGTAAATTATTAGATGAATTTATAAAAAAAAAAAAAAAAAATTCTGAATATTAAGAGTTTCTTATTTTAAAGTTTTCTTCATTCTAATTGTAGATTTTTGTGCAATGCATCATTTATAACAAAAGATTTTACCTCATGTAATTTAGTGATTTCACCCCAATAATTATCATCCTAATTTTGATGAGAATGAAATTATGTTTTCGATAATTTTAGTGAATGTTTGAAACGATTATAATTTGTGATGTTTGTTTTTAAAAATTTTATTAAAATAGTTATCTACTAAAAAGGTTTTTAATCAAAAGTTGTTTAATGTTTGACAGAATTTGTTGTTATTTAAAAAAAAAAAAAATTAAAACTATATGTTTAGTGAAAATAATTATTACTAAAAATGATATAAAAAGAAAGAAAAAAAAAAGCAAAAAACACAAACTGTGTGTTTAATTAAAATGTTATAGAAATTGAATTAGTTTAATATAATTTATGTATATATATAACAGATTTATATATAAATATAATATATGTATACATAAATATTAAATTATATATATTAGTATATCTATTATTGCGTATATATATAAAAGTAATGTATATTATATATAGATATAGGTATATGTTATTAGAACTATTATACATTATGCTAATATGATAAATTTACAAATAAAATATAAGATATATTATATTTTTTTATATAATATGTAATATTTTTTATTATGTATGTATACATATATATATATATATATATATGCACACAGTCGATATGTTGATGATGCGCATAACAATATACCCGACAAATTGTTGGGTATATATATATATATGTATATGAGTAGTGCGTGTATGTATTTATATATGTACTATATACACCAACTTTTCACCCTTTATATTTTCAGCTAACTTTGACACTTGGATGGATGCACCATATATGTCAAAAACATAACTCACCTTCCTTCTCCTTTAGATATATATATATATATATATGTATTTATATATACATAAGAGATTTTTTTTTTTTTTTTAAATGATAAGATTTGTACTTTTAAACACACAGATTAAAAAAATATATTAAATTTGTGGTTAGAAAAACAAAAATAACAGTGTATATATACATACACCAATAGAGAGAAAGGAGGAAGAGAGAGTTTGATGCACGACAAGGAGACCAGAACAAGCAGATTCAGAGCCAAGGAGGCTGCTAGCAATTGGAGGTGGATGCATGCATGTTGGCGATATATACATGACGTGTTTTTTATTAAAAATTAAGTCGAAATTTCTAGCTGGGTATTTGACTGGGTCTTAAGTTGTTGAAATATTTTCTCTGATAAATTTCTAGCTTGGTAGCACTTTGATTTCATGATAGATTATTGTGCTATGTCATTATTTTCAGTTGCTTTGTAAAACCTAGTTAAAAGCATTTTCTGGTTGATGAATAAACAAATTGATGTGTGAGAAAATTCATATTCACTACATGTTTCCTTAAAGTCTTCGTATATTAAATCTTTATTTTTCTACTGCATTCACTTGTTGTTTGTTGTATTTTCCTTGCAGTAAAGTTACTGCAACAGTTTCCTCTAAGCCGCCTTCACCAACAAAAAAGGTATCAGAGCTACATTCATTTCAGATTGATCATATGGCTCGTGGAAACCAACGCACAATGCAATGACCATTACTCAACCATCAATCCATATTCGAAGGTGAATGCTACGAATTTTGGAACATCAAAATAAAGACTTTATTTAATTCTCAAGATTTGTGAAATTTGGTTGAGAATGGGTATTATGATTCGGATGAAGAGACGCACTATTTTAATTCAACAAATTGTGCACGAATCCATTTTTTTGGTTCTAAAATTACAGCAATAAATACAACCAAAGAAGCATGGACAACCCTACAAACAACATATGAAGGCTCCTCAAAAGTAAAATTCAACATTTTTGTCGTGATCTCAAAATTTTGCAAATGAAAGGTGGAGAATCAATGCAAATTTTTTTTTTTTAATCTAGAATAGTTGCAATTATTAATCAGATGAGGTCTTATTCAGAAGTTGTAACTGATGAGACAATTATTGTAAAGGTATTATGGAATTTAACTCTAAAATTTTAAAAATGTAGTTGTTGCTATAGAAGAGTCCAAAGACTTGACCATATATTCATTTGATGAACTAATGAGATCCTTATAAAGCCATAAGGCAAGATTGAATAGAGCAAATGAAAAGAGTGATAAAAAGCCCTTTCAAGTGATGGAGGAGTCATTTAAACAACAAGATGACTCGAGGAAGGCATCAAACAGCGAACGTGGTAGAGGAGGACATCATGGTAAAGGTGGTAGAGAAAGAGGAAAAATGGTGGACAAGATGAATAAATGCATACGACTTACAAGTAGAAAAATCACAACAACAATATTCAATGTCACAATTGCAAGAGGTATGGACATGTAAAGGCAGACTGCTAGAGAAAAAATGCATGTAAATTATGTAGAAGATAATAAAGAGGTTAAGCTATTTATGACCTATAAAGATGACATTACAACTTCAAGTGATATCTAGTTTTTGGACAATATATGTTATGACTACAATAAAATCTTCATTTAAAGAGCTTGACGAGTCATATAAGATAAAAGTAAGCCTTGGTGATGACAAGTGCAAGTTGAAGGCAAAGGCACAGTGACAATAAATAAAGGTTGAAGTAACGTAAAATTCCTTTATTATAGATAGTAGACAGTAAACACGTTATAATGTCTGATAATAGTTCATGTATGATTACAAATAAAAAAAATCAGATCATGTTATTGTTAATGTACACATGGCACCAAATAAACTTTTTTCACTTTAGGTGTCTTGTTCTAAAACTCATGGCCTTGTTGTTAGTAAAGGTAGTGAGTCTAGATTGTAGCATTTATATTATGAGCATTTAAATGTGACGTGATCTAGGCACTACAAAGATTCACAGTAACGAACGAGGGATTGACGAAGGAGAAATAACAACCAAACCACCATTATTTCTCGTTCTATCTCAAAGAAAGAAAAGTCATCAGTCCACAAGATGGACTTGGAAAATTAAACAACCAAATTCAATTGCCTCCAAACCAATTATAAGAAGTCGGACAAAGAGATTTCAAAACACTTTTAATTTTTTGGTCCAATAGTGTGTGAGCAACAAGATCACTTGCGAAGCCTCCGAAAAAGCTTACGGGAAGATATCCATCCCAAAAGATCCATGGCCAGTATGTATCACACAAGTGACCCTCTTTTTGCACATGTGCCGACAACCACGTGAGGGGGAAGGATCATCTGTAGATGTAGGGATGTTGCCCACATGAAAACAACAAGCGAGGTGTGCAGGCTAGTAGCATTTGCGTGCCACAGAAGAGCACGTGTGTGCACACATGCCCATGATGCCATATGCAGGGGAATGAGCATGAATGAGAGGAGATAACCGCATACGCGTATCCCTCATGCGTGCAGCAAAAGCTTCCGCATGCTTTGCATATGCAACCCGTAGGCACACGTGTCAAACGCACGTGGATAATATATCCACACCCATTGAGTTGGAATTAGCTCCCTTTTTTGCTTCCTTTTTTGCTTTATATCTCCATGATAGAATTCTACTCAAAATCCAAGCAATTTTTAGCATACAAAGCAAGGGAAGATCGACAAAGAGAGAAGAAGAATTTTAGTTAAACTTAAATTAATTATTTTATTAATTTTTTTATAATTTTTAGATTAAGATTCTTTTATTTAATTAATTTACAACCACAGTCTTATTTAAATTCATGTTTAAGATTTCATGTAGAAGTATGTAATCCTACTATAAGTCGGATTAGAAAATAAAAATTTATATAAGGACCTTATTCCTTTATGTTATAATCACAATTCAAGATATCAACAGAATTAAATCTTTAGCTTTGATAAGAGATCAATAATTTATGTGAGTGTTCTTCAATTTCTTCAAGTTAGAGAATTTTTAGAAATCTTGTTGAAGTAAGAAATCATAATTGACTTATCGGGTAAGCTGTGACGTCATTCATTTTTCTTTCTATTTTTTCAATTATCTTGATTATTGCATTCCATATTAGTAGGTGAAATTATCAAGTAGTGATGGTGAATTAGGTGGTTAAAGTCCTCTGATCATATGTGGTGTGAGGCTTCGAGAGTATTACGATCCTTCCAAGTCTCTCCCACGTGAGTTGGTATCAGAGCTAAACTCCTAGTGAGTGTGTTATGTTAAAATTGCTTTAACATTCTTATTTCTGCATAAATTAGCAATTAAATCATCTTATTGCTAATTTGTTTATTTGTATCTCACTTGAGTTCGTACTATATTTTATAATTCAAGTGATCGTTGTTATCTTCCATTAGTAAAAAAAATTAAAAACTAAAAATTTCTCAATTGCACATGATAAGGAGATTGACACTTTATTTCCATTAAAACCTAAAACAAAAGAAGATTAACCGTTTATCAGTGTGGCCAAAACCTTTGATTTATCGAATGAAGATTACATTACTTATCAGGTGTACGCGAAAACTTTTATTTTATTATATTGCATAAGCAAAGGACGATTAACTCACATTTAGTTAGTGAAAATCATTTATTTCATGTATAATTTTATGCATTGCAACTACGTTGTTTCAAGCACCACCATTCCTTCTTTCAGTGCTTAATCCAA